GTAGAGTCCATAATCCATAATAACGTGAAAAAGTGTTCTGGTGTGAATCGGGAGAGAAATCTGCACAGATCAAGCAGCGTTCACAAGATGATGTGATGTTTTTACCAGCCTTTTGGGCTCTCATTCTGACGGCACCCATTCATTTGAAAGAAATACACTTTTATTTTGCAGCAGAATCATCAAATGTAAAAAGTAGCTCATGTTATCCAGTTCTCCTCTACCAGATAAATACTCACGTGCTATGATCTAAATAATACTGTCTCCTGCTGTGAGATCTTTTTTTTTTTGGTAGCTTGTATTTTTATCAAAAGAACAACTTTATTAGTTCAGCTTGCAGTTTGAGCATCTTGCCGTTTCAAGAGCTTCTCCATCTTACAGAAGAATTTGGGGAGACTCACTCCGATCCTCTGGGATTATTAGACATTATTAGAGGCTCAGTGCAGATGAAACTCCCTGCGAGAGCTTGGTTTTCACATCGGATGTGTTTCCCTCACACGCAACGCAGATGTTGATCTGCACTTACATGACTGCTCCTCCTCTCACGGCAGATGTGAATAAAAGGCACATCTGGGCCGATCGTGCTACGCTGCTCTGTCATGAGACCAACACGGACATCTGCGGCAAACACCAGGAGAAAAACCCTCAGTGTGAGAGAATATGGGCAGAACATTCAGCTCTTACTACAGTGAAAACAACAGCCGTACAAACAATGTTCACTCAGAAATTGATTGAAATTTTCACAAATATTAGTATAGAAATGTATGAAAGCTTGTTTCTGCCACAGGATGCAACTTTTTTATCTCACAACACAGACCTTTTCCCTTGCAAGATTTCAGATTTAAACTTAGAATCGCAGTATAAACTCAGGATTGTGAGATATAAACTCAGAACTGCGAGATTTAAACTCAGATTCGTAATATAAACTCAGCATTGTGAGATACAAACTCAGAATGGTAAGATTTAAACTCAGAATTGCGATATAAACTCAGGATTGTGAGATATAAACTCAGAACTGCAAAATTTAAACTCAAAATCGCGATATAAACTCAGGATTTTGAGATATAAACTCAGGTTTCCGAGATTTAAACTCAGGATTGCGAGATATAAATTCATTGTGAGATATAAACTCAGGTTTGCGAGATTTAAACTCAGGATTGTGATATTTAATCGTAATATAAACTCCGGATTTTGAGATATAAATTCAGGTTTAAGAGATTTAAACTCAGGATTGCAAGATTTAAACTCAGGATTGCGAGATATAAACTCATTGTGAGATATAAATGCAGGATTGCGATATTTAAACTCAGAATTGTAAGATTTAAACTCAGTCATGAAATAAACTCAGGATGGTGAGATATAAACTCAGGATTGTGAGATTTAAACTCAGAATCGTAATATAAACTCAGGTTTGTGGAATTTAAACTCAGAATCACAATATAAACTCAGGATTACGAGATTTAAACTCAGGATTGTGAGATTTAAACTCAGAATCGTAATATAAACTCAGGATTTTGAGATATAAATTCAGGTTTAAGAGATTTAAACTCAGGATTGCAAGATTTAAACTCAGGATTGCGAGATATAAACTCATTGCGACGCAGCTCGAGTTCCTGAAGGGGAACAAAAATAGTATATAATATTGTACTGAAAGGAAATGAAGGCTGTTTTAGGGACATTAGGGGTAGTTTTTATTTATTTATTCTGTTTATATATATATATTACAGTAATTTTTACAATTTATTTAAAAATGGCTATATTATTATATTTTGTATATAGCAAATAATCTGCATTACAGTAGTGAGAAAAAACATAATACTTTGTAAATCTGAAATTTTATGATATATAATGGTAAAAATGTTTTGTTTAAATGAATGGTATTTTGAGGGTTGCGGTCCTTTAATTGTCCTGAAAATAATGCAAATCTGCTTCATTTTCTTGAAGCATGTATTGTTTGACGTGTCTGTGAAATGTTTCGATGAGATTCTTTGATCTCTGTCACTGCGTCTGAATGGAGACTCGCGCTGACAGTGATGGGCTGATGTGTTGCCATGGCGATGCGGACGTGATGTCATTTCCCTCGTCTCCGAGGACTCTGCCGCTTTATTTATTTATTTATTTATTTATTTTTGTCTCGTCAGACGAGTCGAGGCTTCAGTTCTGAATGCAGCGCTTTTATCTCCTCACATAGAGCAACAGCTGAAGGATTTCTACAGTTAACTGTGTTTATTCCGATAGAAACGAAAGTATAAAAGACAGCGGGAGATGATTTAATTCCAGTCCATCAAACGAGGCCTTCAGCTGAGCCTCAGAAACGCCGACACTGGATCTGAGCAAAGTTTAGAAGCTTGAAAAGATTTTGATTATACGGAAATAAACATAAACTAAAATAAGATAAGATATAAAAATAAACTTTTTTATTTCAGCTAAGTAATATAAAAATATTTTCAAAAAATAAAATAAAAATGACTAAAATTAAATGTTAAGCAAGTAAACTTATTTTATTCCAGATATTTACAGAGGTGAAATAAAAACATTTTTATTATTAAAGACAAAATAAAATAAAATATAAAAACACAATTCTTTTATTTCAAATAGTTGCCACGGCAACATAAAAATGTCATATTTGAAATAAAATAAAATATAAAACACTTAAACTTATTTTAATTCAGTTAGTGCAACATAACATTTTCATTATTTGAAATAAAATAAAAAATAAATAAAACTAAAATATTAAACATTTTTTATATATTTTATTTCATGAAATAAAATATGGAAAAAAAAACTTTCATTATTTGAACTAAAATAAAATAAAACTTTATTTCAGCTACATAAAAAAAACATTTTTATTATTTGAAATAAAATAAAATAAAATAAGTTAATTAAATAAAATGAAGAAAAAAACTTTATCTTATTTCAGCTACATTCAAAGGCATCATAAAATATTTTCATTATTTAAAATAAATACATAAATAATAATGTGTATATGTAAATATAATATCTAAATAGAAATAATAAAAATAAATATTTATAAATAAAAATGTAAAAAGGATTAATCTTACTTTATTTCAGCTAGTGGCCACGCCAGCATTGCTCATTTGTGTTTAGTTAAAGCTGAAGTACTAAAATAACTAAAACTAAATAAATTAAAAACTAAAATGTAATCAAACTATATAGACATACTAAAAAATCTAATAATAATAAAATGAGAAAAACACAACAAAATTACTAAAACATTAAAATGAAGACTAGAAATCTGAAAATAAAGTCATAAAATAACTGTAATGCTGTGGAACTAAAATACAACTTCAGTGTTTCTGTGTTGTGTGTGATTCGTTATGAGCTTTCATTCGATTGTGCTGCGGTGAATCAGAGTAAATAAGATCTCATCCGGCTCGTTTGGCACAAATGAAGCTCTGGTTTGTATCCAGAATGAACCGTGACGTGAAGGAGATTCAGCGAGGAGCTCATCAGGTGTTATGGAGGGTTAAAGCCTGAGTCTCTCTCGCTGGCAGTAACGTTTGCAGGAGGCCTGCTGTCTAATGCACTGGTGCTTCAATACAGTAACAGCTATTCATTTCTGCTAATGGCCTGGAATAACATGCATTATTAATACACAGACAGCCCTGTTATGATGATTATCAGAGATTGAGTCTGAGGACGCCGGGGCGTTTCTGACTCGTGAATCAGGTTCTTTTCCTTTGAGTCTTTGATGCAGAATCATTCGTTTCTCATCTAGATGTGGAAAAAATTCAGGATTTTTTTAAATATCATAGAAATTACTCAAATAAAGTAAAATATAATATAAAATATAAAAACTTTACATAAAATCAAAAATTAACTAGATGAAAATATGTATATATATGAAAATTCCAGCTAGCTGCAAAAGCAACATAAAAAAACATTTTCATTATTTGAACTAAAATAAAATAAAATATAAAAAAAATTAAACTTATTATAAAATATAAAAGAAACATATTTTATTTTAACTAGTTCCCTAGGCAACATAAAAAATAAATCATTTTGTCATTTGAAAAAAAATAAAATTTAATTAAAATATTAAAAAAAAAATAAACTTAATAAATTTAATTTTAATTAAAATGTAAAAATTAAACAAACTTAATTAAAAATATATATGGACATTTAAAAAAATTAAATAAATAAAACCTAATACATTCTGATCTTAATGAGTGTTTGTCTTATTTTACTATTAAAAATACAAAAAAAATCTAGATAAGATACATTTACTTGAAACCCATATATATATATACATTTACAAAAACAAAAATGTTTTGAAATATATTTCTGTAAATATGTGTTCTAGCAATATAATTTTTTGGCCTTTTTTTTGGTACTTTTTTTAGCTAGTTGCCAAGGCAACATAAACATTTTTATTATTTTAAATAAAATACCAGAAAAACTAAAACAAAATATAAAAAGCTTAAACTTATTTTATTTCAGCTAGTCGCCAAGACAACATAAAAACATTTTCATTATTTGAAATAAAATAAAATATAAATAAACTTATTTTATTTAGACTAGTTGCCAAGGCAACATAAAAGATAAACCATTTTATCATTTGAAATTAAAAACTAAAATAAAAAGCTTAAACTTACATATATTTTATATATTTAAAAGCATTTAAAATATATTTTGCCCTCCATATAAGCATCATTTCTTCAGTCAGAAGGTCTTTGTATAGTAACCGAGACATTCATGTAATAAATGATGAAACAACATAACTGGGAAATCTCTGCGTACTGTTGGGGAATAGTTTAAAGCATTTAGTGACATTACTGTTGTTTCTAATGCGGTTTGTTGGACTTGTTTTATATCATTTGCTTATATGATTTTCCATCCCGAATCAAACGCAGACGTGTTTCGCTCACAAACACACGCTCACGCGTTGACCATCCTCCGCGGCCACGTCTGCTGCCTTTCTAGAGCCCCGTATCAGTCCCTCCTCTGTTTTTCTCTTTCTTAGTTCCTCCGAACCTGACCGTGCCGCGGGGCAAGTCTCCGATGGCGGTGCGGGAGGGCGAGACGGTGGAGCTGGAGTGCCTTGTTTCAGGGAAACCCAAGCCCATCATCCTGTGGTCGCGGGCGGATAAGGAGGCGCCGATGCCGGACGGCAGCATGCAGACGGAGAGCTACGACGGCGTGCTGCGCATTGTTAACGTGTCGCGCGAGATGAGCGGATCCTACCGCTGCCAGACCAGCCAGTACAACGGCTTCAACGTCAAGCCCAGAGAGGCCGTGATCGAGCTCATCGTGCGCTGTAAGTGCTCCTCAATGCCTCAATGTCTTCATGTCAATAACAACATGAATGTCCACCAAATCAAACCATTCACAGCAAAAAGTCCTGTTCTTAATGAGTATTTATGTCTCAATTTCCAATTAAAAATCGCAAAATTTCAAAATATACAAAACACATATTTACTAAAATATGTTTTTTAAACATATTATCTATATCTAGGAATATATTTTTAGCCATTTTGTTATTTTTGAAAATATATTTTAAAAAAAAATTTTTAATTAAAAAAATTTAAATATATATATATATATATTTAAAAGCATATAGCACATGTGAACATACCCATATGAAAAAAAAGAAATTCTAATATATTTTTAAATATATTTGAAAATATACAAAAAAAGGCCAAAAAATATAGTTTTGCTAAAATATGTTTCAAAATTTTTTTTTGTAAATATATTTTCTATGAAAATATTTTTGTGCATTTTTTAAATATTTTTGGCCATTGTTTGTATATTTTCAAAAAAAGCTTTTAAAAATATTTTTCCCTCCATATATTTCAGTCCAAGAAAATATATTCACATTTGAATAAAAACATTATTTGTTGTCCATAACGTGTGAACATATGTGTGAACAAAAAAATATATATTTTCAAATATATTTAAAATATACAAGAAATGGTCAAAAATATTTTTATTGTGAGTAGTTTCAGTGTTTTTTTTTTTTTTAAGTAATTTTTACTAGGGCAGTTGGGTCAGAAGACAGTGGGTTTTTTTTTTTATAAATAAAATTGGGATTGTCCAGATTTGTGGGTAGGTATCAGTGCTTTTGTACAAGTAAACAGTTTTACAAGCTGTGCTTTGAATCACCATGAATGAATCTCAAGGTGCCACATAATCGCATCCATTATAACTTGAAATTGAAAGCGGCAAGTTGTGAGTCACACAAGGTCTTTCCATTTTCTCTGAATAGGAGTGTGTGTTTGAGAAGTGTGTTCAGGAACACGTCCTGTACTTTCTGAAAGTCTGTTTGTCAAGGACGAGGAACTGGAGAGTCTCACAGACTCACTTCAGATGCTGTTACGCCACATAACAGATTGCAGATGGCTTTATCTGACAACACATTGGTTGGTTGGTTTGTTTGTTGGCTAGTTCAGGGCTTTTGAAGCTTTTTGGAGCCAGGGACCCCTTACAGGTGAGAACATTTTCCAAGGACCCCCACATAATTATAACAGTGTTTAAGGCTTAAGGTTATGTCGGTGGGAGTAAAGAATGTAGAACGCTGTAAGAAACCTTTTTGTAACCTTTAAATAACGTTCAAATCACAACAAGAAATGCATTGCAGACACACACAACACCCTAGTAACCACATAGCAGCCCACGTTACTCCCTAAAAACCACCAGAACACCTCAGAAACCACATAGCAACACTCTAGCAACTGCATAGAAATGCCTCAGAACACCCTAGCAACCAACCAGCTGCATAGCAACGCCCTAGCAGCCACCACAATACCCCAGTAACCACATAGCAGCCCACATTACACCCTAGTAACCACCAGAACACCTCAGCAACCACATAGCAACACCCTAGCAACTGCATAGCAATGCCTCAGAACACCCTAGCAACCAACAAGCTGCATAGCAATGCCCTAGCAGCCACCAAAACACCCTAGTAACCACATAGCAGCCCACAGTACACCCTAGTAACCACCAGAACACCTCAGCAACCACATAGCAACACTCTAGCAACTGCATAGAAATGCCTCAGAACACCCTAGCAACCAACCAGCTGCATAGCAACGCCCTAGCAGCCACCACAACACCCTAGTAACCACATAGCATCCCACAGTACACCCAAGTAACCACCAGAACACCTTATCAACCACATAGCAACACCCTAGCAACTGCATAGCAATGCCTCAGAGCACCCTAGCAACCAACCAGAATTCCCAACCAGCTGCATAGCAACGCCCTAGCAGCCACCCACAACACCCTAGTAACCACATAGCAGCCCACAGTACACCCTAGTAACCACCAGAACACCTTATCAACTACATAGCAACACCCTAGCAACTGCATAGCAATGTCTCAGAACACCCTAACATGCAACCAGAATTCCCAAACAGCTGCATAGCAACGCCCAAGCATCCACCCACAACACCCTAGTAACCACATAGCAGCCCACAGTACACCCTAGTAACCACCATAACACCTTAGCAACCACATAGCAACACCCTAGCGACTGCATAGCAATGTCTCAGAACACCCTAGCAACCAACCAGAATTCCCAACTAGTTGCATAGCAACGCCCTAGCAGCCACCCACAACACCCTAGTAACCACATGGCAGCCCACAGTACACCCTAGTAACCACCATAACACCTTAGCAACCACATAGAAACACCCTAGCAACTGCATAGCAATGTCTCAGAACACCCTAGCAACCAACCAGCTGCAAAGCAATGCCCTAGCAACCAGCCAGTACACCCTAGCAACCACCCAGCAACTGTCTGTCAAACTTCACTCTTATACAATTACTTGAAAATAATTTGCTACATACCATATTTTCTGGACTACAAATCGCGTTTTTTAATCATCTGAAACATGCTCTGATTTACAGTATATTCCAAATTGACTTACATAATGTAATTAATGTCATATAAGCAAGATGAAAACACTAAAAAGTGTTTACTTTAAACACTTCAAGGTTTCTACAAATATACTGTATTTCTCAAGTCTGTATGACAAGTACGCAGTATTTTCTTTATTTCAGTTTTTCTTCATTTCATGCCAACTGAGATGGCAAAGTGCATTTCGTTCGTTTTCTTTATTTTACAAAAGTACGACGTTTCACTGTTATTTTGAAGGTACACAAATAAAAATAGACCCATTTCCGTTTTGACTGATGTCTATCTTTCCGCTAATATAAGGAATTATTCAATTACTTAGCGGACTCCCTGGCTATGGGCTAATGTATGCACGCTTAAACTCACTCATATTTGAAGTGAACGTTTAGGCGCTCGGCGTCAGTCTGTGGAAATCTTCAGGGAAGTGGAGGTGTGTTTGAGGACGCGGCGGCGTCATGGTGTTTGCGGTGTGAAATCACGCTGAGAGATAAAGCGTCTCCGGTGCGCAGTTGAGGAGAATGTGTGAATGCGATGAGAATGGCTTTCCTGAGTCACAGCAAACACGCGCGTGTGTCCTTCATGCACTCAGAATAAGTACACTACTGACGATGTGCCCGAGGACTGTGCAGTTTTTTTTTTTCTTTTCATGTCTGGAGATTTAGTGCCGTGATGCTGCGTGAAGATTCATGACTGTGACTGAGAACGTTATTATGAATATGTCTAGCGTACTGTACACTGTATATATCCTGCTATATCCTGTTACATTGTAACAAACTGCGTCGTGTCACTACTAACTAAATGAATCATCACTTAATAGTGTTCACAAACATCCCAGGGGGTCATTTTATTTGCTTCTCTTTGTTATGAATTAAATATTAAATACTGCAATTTAGCTCCAATTCTTCATTTCTGTTGTTTTAGTTTCCTTAGTGTTTTTTCTCCTAATTTATTATAAATATATGTGCTCAAGTTTGATGCTTTTACCAGAAAAATCTGGTAAATTAATATGATTGTCTTGCGATTGTAATTGGATCATAATGTCAAAGTTTGTGATACAGCTGTCATCGTAAATAGAATGTCCATTTGTGTGAAATGCATTTTGGGATACAGTGTCCCACACGTTGTGTGCTGCACATTTCAGAAAAATATAGCAGGTTGGGTTTTGAAACGTTCTAGAAAGTTTCAGGTCTGATGAACATATTTCAGTTTTAGTAATTTTAGTACTTCAACCTAAGCATATTTCCTAAGTTAAATTTTTAATTTCTAATAAATGTTTTTAGTTACTGAAAATGATTTGAACCAAACTAAAACTGTCTTTTTTATTTATTTTACATTTTTTCATATTTTTATATTACTTTATTTCATTTTTACTTTAATAATTTTAGTACTTAAACTTCTAATATTTGTTGAATATTTCTATTATTCTAACATTTCTAATATAGCTTCAAATGTTTATAAGCTTGAATTTATTTCTATTTCAGATTTAGTTTTAGTAATTTTATTACTTCTATTTCAGTTAGCTTCCAAGGAAACATTTCTAATTTACATTTAAGTTTTTTTAAGTTTAAGTTTTTCATCTAATATTTATACTTTATTTTATCTGTATTTCAGTTATCAAAACAAATTTTTTTTATACTTTTTTAATACAAATTTTAATAACAAAAATTATAATTTTCTTTAACAGAACTAAAACTATTTGTCTTTTTTGTTATTAGTTTTCTAAAAATATTTCTATATAATTTGTTTTTATTTCAGTTTTAGTTTTAGTAATTTTAGTACTTCAAGTTACACTTATTTCAGTTAGATGCCAAGACAACATTGCAAATTTTGTTTTTAAAATTTATATTTTATTGAATCTTTATTTCAGTTACTGAACATTATTTATAATAGCTAATTATATATTTAATTAGTTAAAACAAAAACTATTTGTCATTCTTATTTTTTTTATATATACTGTATATATTTCTATTGAACTTTATTTTTAATTCTGTTTTAGTTTGTCATTTTGGTACTTCCATTTAAACTTATTTTAGTTAGATGTCACGACAACATTGGTAATTTTCATTTTTAAGTTTTCAAATTTTTTCTTGTTTAAGTTTTTCATCTAATATTTATATTTTATTTCAGTTAATCAGTTAGTGATTTGGAACGTTTCTGCTACTTCAGTTTGAGTTAGTTGTGTTAACACTTGGCTGGACTGACTTCAACAGCCTTGATGTGTTTAAAAAAGTGAGTGCAGTTTACAGCACCAGATCACGTCCTGAGTCTGCACTGATTGATTGATTGACAGCTGTCAGAGAACAGTGATGAGCAGCACTGAAGGTTATTGTTTTGATCCTTTCTCCTCCTGCATCAGTGCAGCTGAACGCAGCTTCAGGCTCAATATGATTCCTTCTGTT